ATATTTCATGATATGATTGACAGGTCTGCTGCAGAGATGCCATCCAGCTTAAGTGAGGATGAAACTGGAGAAACTAGTTCTTCTGCGGATTGAGAATGTACATGTAAAGATATGGAGACCAAATGTTGTGGGTTGTACATGTCGCCTGTGTTGGAATATTGTAAGTAACAACAGTAATGTGTGTGGCTAGCCGTTTGTTTTGCCCTTCTGGTGCTCACCTTGTTTATATTGCTTGTACATTGCTGTTTTATTTGCCTAAGAAGTTTTTGGACGAATTAAAATTGGTGGAGCTTTTGAAATTTGATTGTGAATTTGATCTACTTGGGACCGCACATGGGCATTCATGTCATTGCTGATTACATACAAATGACACAATGCATATCATAGAAGTTTTGTCATATATGTTATATTTTTTGGAGACGTTGCCTACTTATTTATCATTTGGGTTGGCTCTCCCTCATTTGGCCGGATGAATGGTATGTACAATTTGGGGTCACAATGAGTTTCTGTACAATTATATCAAGTAAAGGCTTTTTTTTAGCCAAATTTTTTTTGGTGGTTTCTCCTATTTGGTTCTTCAGCCTAAAAGGTATTACCAGCATTTCCAGCTATTGATCCGTTCCAAGGGCAGGTTCTTGCACGTTACTCACCCATTCCAATCATCCGCTACCAAAAACACCATTTCCTGTTTGACTTGCACCCACCTTTTATGGACAGGTTGATTCCCCAATGACTGGTTTCCTAAGTTATAGTCAAAAACCTTGTCGCAATGGAGTCATCCAATGATGAAGATTCAGATTATGGTGTGAAAATTCTCTCTTAGTAATCTTTGAGGTTTTTGCGTTGGAGATATGTTTGCATTATAGTATTTTAAAATTTTGATATGTTTTTGCATTGCTCTTTCTCTCAAAGTAATATTATTTGAACATAAAAATTTAACCAAATTTACTAATATAATGATGCGACTTCATAAGAATTATTGGATCAACATCAAATTTCATTGTTAGATGGGGTCTACGGTGAATTGAATTAGCAAATTATATTAGGAAATTAGGTTCTAATGGGATTGCTCATTCTCCAAACTGTTTACATTACTGGAATTGTCCTGGTTTCATGGTTTCAGTATATATTTGATTTATGTTTCTTGATCTTTTTGATACTGTGATCACCTGCTTTTGTCAGATCTGTCTAGGGTACCTCTTGAATATGCATCCCTTTTTAAAATTTACTGTCCCATACTAATGTAACCCTCGACCCCCATTTTTTTATTTTTTTTGTTTCAATGGTGAGGGGCATCTCAGCAGTTTATTGATCCCTCAGTTTATGCGTATTTCGGTTAATCTCTTCTCTGATTTGTTCAAAAATATACCATTTATGTCGGAATTAAAGTATTGAGAAGGAAAATAATTTCTTATAGTCTGGTCCAAAGGAGTTATCAAGATTCGAATTTAGAATATCTAAATTTACAATTTATCTATGTTATTACTTGATTTACTCTTTGGAGTAATGACCCATGTACCAAGAATCTTTTACTTTCGTGAAAATCCCCACATTAGCACAAATGATGTTTTATCACAATAAGTTTGTAAACAACAGATATCAAAATCATTAAATTTTTGTTCACAGTGCTTTAAAAATCCTTCGTTACACAAATAATTCTAAAAGAACATAAAAATAGAAATCACCCAAGGAATAATACAAAAAAAATTCGAAGAATCCTAGGTAGTTTGATGACTTAATCTTAAAAGTCTACTTTGTTGTTGTGATCATGAATCTGATATCTGCATAGAGGGCACACATTCTTTTGTTTAAGCCACTTAAAAATACAATGACCATGAAATTTGCGCATGCAACCCATGGCTCTTGCTTCATACCCACGTTTCATCTCACCCAAATACACCCCACAAACTTCATCTTCCTCAATCACCACCTCTCTCAACCCTTCAAGAACTGGATCAACCGTGTCCGCCAGGAGTCTCGCTAGGTGTACTGAAATCGCATGCTGAGTCTCTCTCAACACGGTCTCAAAATCCCGACAATCCAATTGAGCCCTTGACCAGGCCAACTCTTTTGGCATGGAGTTCAACTTCGCAAGTTCGAGTTCTGCGGCGCTCAGTGTTGGGGGCGCTTCTTGGATTTCGCAAGGCGTACCAACCGTCGTCGGAAAAGGGAGTTTCGGCGGAGTGTTGCAGTCTGTTAAGAGCATCCGCCATTGATATGGCTATTTCAAGCTCCTCCTCCATCATGGTTTCTTTCTTCGCAGACAAGAGAGAGAGAGAGGGAGAAGCGAATTCCGAAAACTATGAAAGTGGATATATATATGGCTTGAGATTGAAGAGAACCTTATATATATTTATATGTATCGTATATTCATAATTGATCAAGTAGAAGGTTTATGTGTAAATTCCTGGTTGCTTATGCCGCCGCCGCCTTATTTGCTTGTTGATAATAGTCTAACGGTAAGTCCCATGTTCGCAGTTGTTTCCTCAGATAAATAGAATCTTTCGCGTGGGAATTTGGTAGTTTCTATTTCTGTCCTGACTCTTATCCTATCAGGTAGACTAAGGTAATTATTTATTTATTTATTTATCTGGTTAGCAGTCCCGGATCGGTTTATACGTATCTCAATTAATTTTTTTTTTAAATCTATTTAAAAGCAAATCATTCACATTGTCAAAATTTAAACTCATGACATCTGTATTTATAATTCTTCTTTATTATCACTTAAACTATCTCTTGAGATTAAGAGTACTTATTAGAACTTAGAAGTAATGCGTCGGGGCTATTGTTATTATTTTTTTAATTTGAACCTAATTTAAGAATATAATTTATTAACTTAATTTATCATAATCATTAGATTAATAACAAATCTCAAAAAAATATTAGAATACACTGTCAATTTTACGGTTATGAATAATTATATAGATAAATTAAGTTAATAAATTAAATCCAAGTAACATTGCTCGTTCTTTTTTTTTTTTTTGTGTCCAAGTAACAAATTAGGTTCATTTTGAGTTTTATTATTTTATATTTGATCTTATTATTTTTTTGATTAATAATTATAAATAACTTAAATTAAAATTTTAACTTTAAAATTATCTATAAAATAAAGTATAAAAATTGAAGGCATAAAAAATAATTTTTATTTTTTGGTGGTAATTATTTTAAATTTTACTTTTAAGTTAATCTGACGATTAATATTAGTTTTTCAAATTTAATAGCGAAAATAGGTCCGCTAAGAGTGTATTTGAGATGACTTTTTAAAAATGCTTCTAAAATTTAAATAAATAGGTAAATAAAAAAATAACTTATACTTCTTTACAAAAATATTTCACCATCACTACCGCGGCAGCCACCCCAACAACCACTTCCACCACCACCACCACCACCACCATCGTTGTCGTCACCCCCACCTACTACCACAATCCACCATCATCTATCGTTGTCCACCGTTGCCGCCACCCAACGTCACCTACCCCTACCACCTCCCAGCACCATCGTCACCCCACCACCACCACCTTCACCGTCGTCGCCCACCATCACCGTCATTACCTATAACTGCCACTACCACCATCGTCACCAAAAATCTATCACTACAATCACTGTTATTACTCATAATTGCAATCACAACCATCATCACCGCCAACCGCTATCACTACTACCATCGTCACCCAAAATTCACTACCACCGTCACCGATAACCCATGAGTGTCATCACAACTATCATTGTTTCCTACCGTCATCACTGTCGTCCACCACTACTACCACCGTCTACTACTTCTATAATTGGTGTTTCAATTTTTTTTTTTCTCTTCTATATTTATGATTTAATCTTGAATATAAATATAAATATATTTATAATTAACCATTTTTATTATTAAGGCACACAAATACTTGTAATAACTAGTTTTTTTATATCATATCAAAAAAATTTTGTTGAGTTCCGCAATCTTCTCCCCACTTGCATGAATTCTTACGCAGAAACCACTCAAAAGGTTTGACGGAATGATATTCTGGACCACGCGTAATAAAAAACGACAACTAATCCTACATGGTCAAAGCTGCTACTCTGTGTCTGTGGTCTTGTCCACGAAGAACCGCGTTGAAATGTGTATGCATTTTTTAATGTTAAAACGTGTTAAAAAATGAAAAATTTATTGAACAATTACCCCGTATCTGAAAATATTATATAATATAAAATTTAATTTTTTGAAAAATTAATCTTTTTATAGCAAATATTAATTTGTACTCATTATTTTTTAAAATAAAAATTGATAAAATTCAAATGTTTAACGTCCTTATTATGTTGATATAACTATAATAATTTCAAAAAATTATAAAAACATCCCTTACAATATCGAACCATAATCTGGGCATCCTTATAATTTTTATTGAGCCTTTTTTCACAACATTGAATATCATCTCATATACTTTGGACTGTGGTTTCAAACAGGACTTGGCTCATCCCCCAATCACAAAATAATAAAGAAAATCCTCTAATTTCTTGTGAATGGTAATGATTTGTTGTTCCATTGGGATAACCAAAACACCATCACGATAGTATGGCTGTGGAATAAGAATCTAATTCGGAAACATAATCGTAGATCTAATTCAATGTATATATTAAATAATTGTGACTTTTAATGTTAAACGAATTTTATTTTTAATCTATTAAATATAATTGGTTAAGTTTTCAAATTATGTCTAAATAGTACTTTTTAAATAATATTATGCAAAATATAAAAAAATAAAAAAAAACTAATTTTTTTTTTGTTTAACAATCGACGAGTGTCTGGGTCAGCTTACACAAATTTCGACTGATCCTCTTTCTAGTCCGATCAAAGTCAGACCTTCCACGCCAGAACTAAGCTATATTCATGAGGGATCCCTCATGACTTTATCCAAAAAAATTGTTAAGATTAAAATTTAAGATGTCTAATTTTATAAAATATTTTTATTACCATTTAAATTATCTTGATGTTCAAGAACTGATTTGACAATGCTTTGAAACAACTCTTACTAACCCAAACGCTATTTGATCACAATAAGTTTTGTGCCCATCTGAAATTCCTAAGAACATAAAATAGAAACCACCCAAGAATCTTCAAAAATCCTACAAAAAAATATTTCAAAGAATCCTTGTTACGTTGTCTTAATCTTCAAAATCTACTTTGCTGTTATGAATATGATATCTGCATAGAGGACAGACATCCTTTTGTTTAAGCCACTTAAAAATACAATGACCATGAAACTTGTGCATACAACCCATGGCTCTTGCTTCATCCCCACGTTTCATCTCTTCCAAACACACCCCACAAACATCCTCATCTTCCTCCACCACCACCACTTCTCTCAACCCTTCAAGAACTGGATCAACCGTGTCTGCCAGGAGTCTCGCTAGGTTTACCGAAATCGCATGCTGAGTCTCTCTCAACACGGTCTCAAAATCCCGACAATCTGCTCGAGCCCTTGACCACGCCAACTTTTTTGGCATGGACTTCAACTTGGCGAGTTCGAGTTCCTCTGCGCTCAGTGTTGGGGCGCTCCTCGGATTCTGCATGGCGTACCAACTGTGGTCGGAAAAGGGAGTTTCGGCGGCGTGTTGCAGTCTGTTAAGAGCATCCGCCATTGATATGGCTATTTGAAGCTCCTCCTCCATCATGATTTCTTCACGAACAAAATAGAAGAACTTGGAAAGAAAGAAATATTCAGGAACAGGAGAATTGAGAGTTTGGAAGAAAGAAACTATGCAACTTTTTATCGTTTGAGATTGAAGAGAACCTATATAGACATATATAAATATGTATTGTATATTCCTAGTTAATGTAGGAGAAAGTTTATCTGTAGATTTGTTGAGGATGCTCTCTAAAGTCCTGGTTGCTTATCCCGCCGCCTTATGTTGTAGATATATACATATATATATATCACCGGTAAGTCTCATGTTTCGCAGTTGTTTCCTTAGACAAGCAATTTTTCATGTGCGACTTAGGAAGTTTCTATTTATATCGTTACTTGTACACACTCGTGCATATCCACTAAAACCATACTTAAATTTGTATATTCCGCCAAATTCATATCATTCACATTAAAATTAAAATATTTATAAACGATAAATCTCTTATAATTTGATCTCAAATAATTATCAAGATTTGAATTTAAAATGTTTAAATTTACAGTTTATTTTTATTATTATTTGAATTATCTTTTACAGTTTAGAAATAATCGAATTTAGAAATAATCAAAGTTCTCATAAATTAACTCAAAAATTTTTAACCATTAAAAACAAAAAGTAAAAAAAAAAAACCTCCTCTACCCCAAGTAATGAGTCACGATCACAATCGTTGACTATTAATCAAACTCATTTATAATTTAAAGGTGATAAAAATGTGTCCTATCATTTGGGGCAGATAGATAGTATAGACGTCTGGCCTACATCACGTAGTAGAGTTCACGCGGCGGCTAAATCCTACGTTGTCAAGACTGGTAGCTGCGTGGTCTTCTGCATCAAGAACTGCGTTTGAAACGTGTTTAAAAGGAAATTCAAAGAAGGATACAACTTGGTCCCAAAAAAAAAAAAAAAGGAATGATACACCAAATATAATTACAGTGACTACTCTCATAGTATCCCATAATTGCACTGGGTGACCATATAACTTTTAATTTTATACTCACACACCATAAGGCATTTTGACAGGGGTGTTTTTCTAAAATCAATGTTGTAAGAACCTAATTCAATGCAATAAAGTCCTCAAATTAGCTCAAAATAGTATTTTTCTTGTCACTTGCATGTAGAAACGTGTGATTAATATCGTACAATGGATGAATAATTTATTTTATAGTTTAAAACGGCGAACTGTAGATCTTGTTCAGCAGTTTTTTTTTTTTCTTGTTTGTGTCAACCGAAAAAACCATTGAATCTTAACAGACGATCGTTTTATGGACATTTGTTGGATTTGGAATTTTATTACAAAGGATACAATTCGTGGTGAGGTTGTAAGAGAAAGCCTAATGCAACATAAATGATTACTCATTTCCTTTACTTTTTAAGCGGCTTTAAAGAGGGAGATAAAGAATTTCTTTATAGAACTGCTATATGGAGAATTCACAAAGACTTTGTTGGAAGGGATTTAATTACCAAGAATCATTTAACTATATAACTCTTTAGATGCATGGGAACACAAATCATTATAAAGGAAGCCATTTACGTGCATCAAATCCTCCATTTCGTCCTATAGGGTGCTGGAAATAGTTTTCCTAGCAAATACTACAGCTGAATCGCATCCAAAAAGGCACCCTTGTCCTCTCTCTCTCTCTCAGACACACACATACATACATGTGCGCACGCACAAACACCGAGACAAGGGAACCACGGTGGTGTCGTCGATCCATAAACTGGACCTGATTGGTGGTGAATTGCAAAATCGGTTGGGTAATGTTTATTGATTTTTGGCCTTTCAGCTTCCGTGAACTTTAAAACAAACATAACAATGTAATAAAACATAGATGTATCATATTATTTTTATCAATTGCAGAAAAATAAAATAAAGCGTGTTTAAGTGTCCAGTGTTCACCCAAAACTAAATTTATGACTCAACACTAGATAATTGTACGTAATTACTTTATTCAAACCATTAAATCATTATCCAACATTCACTTATTGATGAAGCTAAAATTTAAACACAAAACCTACCAATTTTGTCATGCTTTTAAATGGAATGTTTAACCGTGGTCTAACAATTTCCATAAAATTGATAAATACAAACATTCAAAGAGATCATATGTATGTAGAGAAATGTCAGACTCGTGTTGCATTCCACGTTTGGATCATCAACATTTCAATCATAACAACCTTATATGTCCCTCATATACACAAATACAAAGACATATGAAGGAGAGTGAGAGAAACTGTGATGTCAAGGGGTTTGTCTCGTAAAACTATGAATAATACTGGGCAATTGAGTCGTGTTTGGATTGTTTTATTTTGGGCTCGTATCACGCACAAGCTCACTCTAATTCAACTCAAATGTCCTGATTTTAACACGTCATGTTTATTAGTTTATCTCTATAATCCACGAACTGAAAATCTAAAACTAGATTTCACCATCTCTCAATTAAACACAGACTAATAGTTTAAATCACAATAAACTATATTAAATGAAGACTCTAAGAGGCATGTGCACATTATAAATACTACGTTTAATCTGAGGTGGGCATTGCAACTACCAGAATATTTCATTGTTATACACAGTTTTTCTCCTAGGTGTCAATCTTGTAAGCCATAGATATATGCTTGTGAAATAATTTCAGTTTTGTAGTTGGTATACTGAAGATAGTTTGATATACTTGTAGGTTTACTCTTCTCATGATTCTTGAAACTAGATTAGTGGTGTTGTGTGGTTTTTACATTTGTTATCGAGGTTTATTGTATTGGGTATTACACTTATGGTTATGGGTTAATTTGGCTTGTGTTTCAGTAGAAATGCGACTTGGCAAATTGTTTCAATATAAGATTTTTATAAGTATAATTTAAACAAGAATCACTTTTTCATAAAAAATGCAAATAAAAATAAATATTGAAAATGGTCCACATGCAGCAGTAACCCTAATTTCAAATAAAATCCTCGATATCTCTAAATATTAAGTAGCATCAGAAATTAAACTATTTATTGATGATGCTGATTTTCACAAATCTCTTGAACCAAAAAACTCACCACAAAATAGAAAGAGAAATCGCCAAAGAATCATCAAAATAACACGAGAAAAAAAAAAATCAAAGACTTATGTCTTATCTTAATCTTCAAAATCCGCTAAATTTATAATTCAACAATGTTATTTGAACCTAATTTACTAACTTAATTAATATAAAAGACTCGTTACTAATTCAATAGTTGTTATGAATTAGATTAATAAATTAAATTAATAAATTAAGTCCAATAGTATTAGTCGTTCTTATACCTGCATAGAGGACATATAGTCTTACGTTTCAGCCACTTCACAATGCAATAACCATGAAACTTATGCATGCAACCCATAGCTATTGCCTCATCACCACGCTTCATCTCATCCAAACACACCCCACAAACATGCCCATCTTCCTCCTCCACCATCACCTCTCTCAGCCCTCGCAGAACTGAATCAACCCCACCGGCCGCTCGGAAACTTGCTGGTTCTGTTGAAGCCGTGACAGTCCCAAGTTCTCTCAATATGGTGTCAATTCTTTGATCAATGGCACTCAATATGGTGCCAGAGTTTCGAAGAGACGCAACAATCCTAGCCAGCGACTCGCGTGTTTCCAGATCAACCGAGACTGCTCGGAAATTTGCCCTAGCCCTTGACATGGCCACCTCGCACAATCTAGTCCCTCGTTACTACAAAATAGAGAGCCTACATATATGTATGGTTAAAGAAACAATGGACCTATATCGCTATATACCACTTAGGATTGAAGAGATCTATATATATGGGTTGTNCAGTAACCCTAATTTCAAATAAAATCCTCAATATCTCTAAATATTAAGTAGCATCAGAAATTAAACTATTTATTGATGATGCTGATTTTCACAAATCTCGTTAACCAAAAAACCCACCACAAAATAGAAAGAGAAATCGCCAAAGAATCATCAAAATAACACGAGAAAAAAAAAATCAAAGACTTCTGTCTTATCTTAATCTTCAAAATCCGCTAAATTTATAATTCAACAATGTTATTTGAACCTAATTTACTAACTTAATTAATATAAAAGACTCATTACTAATTCAATAATTGTTATGAATTAGATTAATAAATTAAATTAATAAATTAAGTCCAATAGTATTAGTCGTTCTTATACCTGCATAGAGGACATATAGTCTTACGTTTCAGCCACTTCACAATGCAATAACCATGAAACTTATGCATGCAACCCATAGCTATTGCCTCATCACCACGCTTCATCTCATCCAAACACACCCCACAAACATGCCCATCTTCCTCCTCCACCATCACCTCTCTCAGCCCTCGCAGAACTGAATCAACCCCACCGGCCGCTCGGAAACTTGCTGGTTCTGTTGAAGCCGTGACAGTCCCAAGTTCTCTCAATATGGTGTCAATTCTTTGATCAATGGCACTCAATATGGTGCCAGAGTTTCGAAGAGACGCAACAATCCTAGCCAGCGACTCGCGTGTTTCCAGATCAACCGTGACTGCTCGGAAATTTGCCCTAGCCCTTGACATGGCCACCTCGCACAATCTAGTCCCTCGTTACTACAAAATAGAGAGCCTACATATATGTATGGTTAAAGAAACAATGGACCTATATCGCTATATACCACTTAGGATTGAAGAGATCTATATATATGGGTTGTATATTCTTTTTTAATGTAGGAAAAGTTGTGTATACATACTATTAGAATTTGACTCACGCTATCTAATTATCACGAATGAAAATTTGTTAAATAATCAATAAGAGAATCCTGAATGAAATACAAGAAGAGTTTTAATAAATCACGAATAAGTCTATTAGCGACCTAATAGGAAACATAGATATTTAACGGTATCCAAACTGAATTGAGTTACATATTTTATCCCCATAATAGAGTTGAGTATTATATAATCCGTTACTAAATATAACAAATTTTCTAGTGAATCATGGATCGATATAGGTTTATGTACGGTGTGTACCAAGGTGGGTANAGTTACTAGATATAACAAATTTTCTAGTGAATCATGGATCGATATAGGTTTATGTACGGTGTGTACCAAGGTGGGTACGATGTATCGAACCACGTTATATCCTTATATTTTATTTTTCTATCTTTGAATTCCTATCTTTTAACTTATTGTATTAGTATTAATTATTGATGTGCAAAACCAACATATTCCTTTTTAATGTAGGAGAAGTTTTAGTATCATACCGTAATTGATTTATAATCGTAGATGTTAATGGAAGTTAGTAAACTAAAAGAATTTTACAAGAGTCACTTTTTTATTGGTTGAATAATTTGGACATGATATTAAAAAAATTAATTTTTCATAGTTGGACCATTAATGTTAAGATATTTTACTTTTTTATTGGTACACGGGTAAATCTCATGTTGCACACTACACGGTTACCTAGATAGTATAATTATATATTAATTATAATTTTTTGAGAAAAAATAGATTTTTAATTTTAATTTTGTTTCAATAAATGTCATAATAGAACATGAATTTTTGTTATAAAATTTAAAATATTTAATATTTTATCTTTGATCAAAGTATTTTTTATCTAAATATAATATTTTAAATTTAAGGGTTATAAATATTACACGTTTACAAACTTCAAGGGGTATGAGTATAATTTACTAACTAATATACTAACGGACATTGACGACAAAGGCTTTAGTATTACGCGTATACAAACTTCATATATATGTGTATAATATTTTAAATATTAAGGGATCTGAGTGATTAAGTGACAAATTTCAAAAAATTTGAATGTAATTCTTCCTGTTATTTTTTTTCTTCTACTCTCTCTTCCTCTCGCCCCTCTCCCTCTCTCTGACATAGACAGTAACAATGGCAATGCCAACAACATAATTTTTTTATTTTTTTTGGAGATAGAGAGGGAGGGAGGAAGAACATAAACCCTTAACTTCAAAAAGACAAAATCTTTACAAGGTAAAGAGTATCAATAGACCAAAGATTCATCGGTAATGCTAGCAATACCCACACCGTTTTCTCTCTCTTTCACTCAATGGAGGGATTTGACTTTAATGCTGAAAGAGGAATTAACATTAAATGAACACAAAAATTTATATATGACGACACCAAATTTGTTCTCAGTAGAATTCTCCCTCAGCTGAGATCGCCCCTACAAATGCCAAAGAGATTCAACAAAATCACAAATGGTGTTTTCGGAATTCTGTATCCTATCCGTGGGCAAAATCCATCTTTTTTCTTCACCCCACCCATGGGCCATGAGTACCATTTTCCTGATCGGTGTGGGAATATTTGCACTGTTGAACCGGGCCTCGGATTGGTATCCATGGCTGGGATCCAATCCAATTGAACTATGCAAACCTAGGATTGGTGTGGCCCAAACTAATTTAGAACTATGTATCCCGTTTAGGAGTGTCAATTTTATCGTTTAACACAAACACTACAAACTGCACATTATGACGACCAATTAACATTATTAGAATTTGACTTAAATTCTTTAATTGTCATGAATGAAAGTTTATTGGATAATTAATATGAGAATCCTGAATGAAATAAGAAAGGTATTAAAAGAGTCTTAATAAACCATTGATAGATTTATTAGCGACTTGATAGAAAACATAAAGATTTAGTAATATCTAAATTATATTGGGTTATAATATTTTACATAATATTGAGTATTATGTAATCCGTTACTAGATGACTAATTTTTTCGATGTAAATTTTTGGTCAATGGAGGATACAGGGTATCGAACCACGTTATATCTTTATGTCTAATACATATTAACTGTGTTAATTATCCGTTGTTCAAAACTAACAAACACAAAATGGTAAATGGTCTAATTAAGGTTAGACAAAGAATAAAACAATTAATTGGTATTGTAAGCAAATAAAAAAATTATAAATTATTTTATTTTATTTATATCTTATCATATGAATTATTTTCAAATTAAATTATTTTTTATTGATAAAAAACATTGACGCGATGAAAAACCTATCCCACCACATTATACCAAAGAAGAAAAGGTAAGCCACTTTACACCTTTTGTCAGTTTCTTGCGGGTATGTAAAGAATAAAGCTAGCCAACTGTGAAACTTGCTTTGCGCTTTCTTTCTTTTTTTATTTATTTATTTTTTGAGTAAATTACACATATGACTCTTAAATTATAATTTTCATGTCAATTTAGCCCTAACACTTTATTTGTGTGTTAATTAGTCATTGAACTCTCTAATTGTATCAATTGAGTTCTTCTATTTGCCTCCATTAAATTTTTTAACGGAAAGTGGCGAAATGTGGCACTCACGTGACACAAATGGTTGGAATAAACTATGCATATGACCTTCAAATTATGACTCTTCTGTCAATTAAGTCTCTGAACTCTCTAATTATGTCAATTGAACATTTTTATTTTTTTGTGTCATATATAGTCACATGAGTGACACTCTCTAACGGCGGTAGATAAAATGACTTAATTGACATAATTAGATAGTTCAGGAGCTCAATTGACAAAAAAAATAAAAATTAAGAATTTAATTGATACAAAATTCATAATTTAAGGGTTAGAATCATTGAGTGTGATCTTAGCTGCCCTCATGTGTCTTCAATAGAGGGTCTTGACAGGAGACCAGCATACAATACCTAAAAATGAATTGGATTATATCTAGTTTATAGTTAATGAAACCGTAAGAAACGACTCAATATTTTATCATATGTGAATTGAATTGGGTACATAATCATTTTGAACCTCCAAAAATACACTTAATGGAGCTCTAAGCACCATTAAACCACACAATATGGTGGTAAACTATTATGTATTTGCATGAACTCTCTTTTAGCTGTAGACAGATTAAAAACAACATAACACAACTTCTCACAACTTCTTTTAGACTTTTTAATCTAAATCAATGCCAACGGTTTGATCAATGAATTTCATTAACTTTTTTCATTAGAATTCACTAATCTAACTATTCGTATTAATTTAGGATAAATCATTACCCATGTGACTAATTATGCTCCTGACAATTAAAGGCAATGCCTACAAGGGCATTGAATGCGACTAGTTGAAGGGTTGGCATTTACATGTTCTAATGTGATCATCAAATGTGGAGTTTTTCTTACTTTTTTTTTTTTTGGATAGGGTGGAAAGAATAATATTGAGAGCGTCCTCTCAATTTTTTTTTTTTCGATTTTGTTGAGTTCGATTATTCAACTTTTTTTGGGGGGAGGGAAAAGAGGGAAAAGGGGACTTGAACTATTGACCTTAAAAAAATAAAATCTTCACAAGATAAAGAGTATCGTAGGACGAAAGAGCCATTGATATGAGTCTGATTATTCACCATTAATTTATTGGGTCTTTATAAATGCCATTGAACTCGAGAAACACCACTATAACAAAAATATGAAATTAGCGATAGATGATTATCATTGTACAGAGATCATTAAATACTGAAGAGGTGCACATTGAGTTTCGACATTTCGGATAAGATAATTATTATTGCAGGACAAGACTCTGAGGAGACGTTGATTTCTCCTAAGACTTGTAATTACGCGACTTGAAAGAAGTATAGGTCGCTGATGATTAACCCTATGAAGAGTCTCTCGGCCAGCTTGATGGGACCTATAGAATCCAAATCCGAGATGCAAAATCAGTCCTACTGTCCGTCGGGGAATTCTATAGCATGTGCATTTGGATGGCCAGTGGAACGAATCAAAGAAAAAGGGGAAATCCCTATGGACCACACTCCTCTCTTGATATTGTGAAAACAATAACTGCTTTGGATGACAATAGGTAAAGGGGGGCCGTTACTCCGATATATAATAGCATACATTGTGTAATTTATGGTCGGGCATCAATCGAATTATTTTTTGTCGTGTTTAGTTCTATTATTTTTGTACTTTCGTCANATTTTTTTTTTTTTCGATTTTGTTGAGTTCGATTATTCAACTTTTTTTGGGGGGAGAGAAAAGAGGGAAAGGAGACTTGAACTATTGACCTTAAAAAAATAAAATCTTCACAAGATAAAGAGTATCGTAGGACGAAAGAGCCATTGATATGAGTCTGATTATTCACCATTAATTTATTGGGTCTTTATAAATGCCATTGAACTCGAGAAACACCACTATAACAAAAATATGAAATTAGCGATAGATGATTATCATTGTACAGAGATCATTAAATACTGAAGAGGTGCACATTGAGTTTCGACATTTCGGATAAGATAATTATTATTGCAGGACAAGACTCTGAGGAGACGTTGATTTCTCCTAAGACTTGTAATTACGCGACTTGAAAGAAGTATAGGTCGCTGATGATTAACCCTATGAAGAGTCTCTCGGCCAGCTTGATGGGACCTATAGAATCCAAATCCGAGATGCAAAATCAGTCCTACTGTCCGTCGGGGAATTCTATAGCATGTGCATTTGGATGGCCAGTGGAACGAATCAAAGAAAAAGGGGAAATCCCTATGGACCACACTCCTCTCTTGATATTGTGAAAACAATAACTGTTTTGGATGACAATAGGTAAAGGGGGGCC